ATCCTCTCCAGCAAAGGCTATCATTGGTGTTTTTGATTTTAGCCATTCTGACAGGTGTAAGATGGTAGGACAGCTGAGGAGAGCGCACCTGAACTGGCTCTCTCATTTAGCCACACTGATGAATATCTTGCATATCACTATAGAACCTTAGTCTGGCAATGGATGGAGATAGAGACAGAGACCCACATTGGAGCGCTGGACTGAGTTCCCAAGGTCCAAATGAGGAGCAGAAGGAGGTAGAACATTAGCAAGGAAGTCAGGACTGCAAGGGGTGTGCCCACTCACTGAGATGGCAGGGCTGGTCTAATGGGAGCTCACGAAGGCCAGCTGTACTGGGACTGATGGAGCATATAATCAAACCAGACTCTCTGAATGTGGCTGACAATGGGGGCTGATTGAGGAGCCAAGGACAATGGTACTAGGTTTTGATACTACTGCATGTACTGACTTTGTGGGAGCCTAGTCTGTTTGAATGCTCACCTTTATAGACCTGGATGGAGGGGAGAGGACCTTGGACTTCCCACAGGGCAGGGAACCCTGACTGCTCTTTGGACTGGAGAGAGAAGGGAAGGGAATGGAGGAGAAGGGAGGAGGGGAGGAAAATGAGAAGTGGAAATTTTTAATTAAAAAAAATTAATAATAATTAAAAAATTGGCTAGAATGCAATGAAAAATCAAGTTCCAGCTTCAGAGGATGCTGACAGCTAAAACAATGGCATTGACCATTAAGAAATAGAATCTAGTGATTTGAGTTAGAGATTTGCAAGGAGACCCTACTGAGGCTTATGACACTGAACCCCTTATGTTACAAAGGGTTTTTCTTAGCAAAGGAGGTAATCTTTCCACCCTAAGCAAAAGATGCACTCCCACCCAATATCCTGCAATATTGCCCTCTCTTTGCCTGAGGGAAATAATTCTTGATCTTTTCATAACTTGTCATAACTTACTGTGAACACAATGCCAGGTAAGATAATACTGATATCTCTCTGGGCCCAGCAATAGAGGTCTCTAGAACAGTAACTAGACTCAAGGCTAAGCAAGTTCCTAGAGGGCAGAAAGAAATTTAGTCCATGAGAAAGTAAACACTTGGGAGTTTAGTTCATTCCTGCAGAAGTCCAGGGGATCCATGTGGGGATAGATTTTAAGAATTTTTTAGGGGATATATTTTATAGAGAAAAGGGAAGGAAGAAAACTAGATCAGACTGAGTTTATTCATTTAGTGTCACAAAGAAGTCATTCTAGACTTAATAAAGAAGATACACCATTAAAAGAAGTATCAAAATTTTGTTTGATAGGCTGAAGCATTTGTCAAAATATGGTCTAATGAAAGGGAGCTGGGGACGTGTGCTAATCCTTGGCTTAGTGTTGATGAATGTTCAGGGAACTTGCCATGCTAGAGTATGTACGTGTGTCAAACCTATACCTCCACAGTGGGAAGGACCAGAAGGCATGCCCTCACTACTCCTGTAAGGACACACAACAGGGAAGAGGGACAGCTGTATACTGAAGAGTTTTATTATTGATCTTTCCTTGTGCCAGACCCTAGGGTTGGAGATGCTATTGTTCAATTGGATAATTAAATGTATGCGTTTAATTGGGTCCTGAAGTAGCAAGGACCAAGTGGAAGCATTGAGCCAATGAAGGCAAGGTGAGCCTAGTTTTTAAAATGAACATCAGAGGCATAACAATGTCTCTTAAGGCCTGATACACAATGGGTAGGATAGGCAAGATAATTTTTAGGGTGGCATGACTCACATGGATACTTAGTAATGGCTAACCAATCCTGGTATTTCTAGAGACAAAATAGATAAAAACTATAATAGGTGTTTGTTCCATCTGTATAAATATAAAAAAATCTTAAACAAGTCTGTAAAAGCCTATATTGGATCTTAGCAAGAGGGAATCTTGACCCTTGAACTAATTTCTAGATTTGAGCCAGTTTGCAGACTCAGAACCCCATGAGTGAAAGGGAGACAGATGTCCCTGAGAAAGGACTATGCTGAAATATGTTGAGAACCTTGAGTACCAGCCTCAGTATCCTCTCAGGGCTAAGAATTGAATGTCTATGGCAAGCAAGGATCTGAGGGTTAAAAAAGAATAGCTCAAAAATATTACCTCTGTATATTCTTTATTTTGGGGGTCAAGAGAAAAAATTACATGAAGGGGCATGGAGAAGATGAAGAAGAATGGATGATATCTATGAAGTTTCTAGTTTTTACAGACATAGTTGAAAAATTCCATTGTCAAGGACAATGAAAATATGCATATCAAAACTACAAGAAGAACAGGTAGAACCTGACAAAGCAGTACTCCAGAAGAGGTGGCCTGACCAAGGAAAGAGTCACCATTCAAGGGGAAATCCCTGACATTCCGGACCATGAGATAAAGTTATTAAATGTCGCTAAATCCTGAATTCACTCTCTATTTTCATCTACTTTCTTTTGCGATGACCAGCTTTGGGGACACCCACATTTGTTTGTCTAAAAACAGTGGGTCATGGTGCCTCCCTGCTCAGTGCCTGTCTTCTATAGAAATTTCTCTGTGATCTATTAGCAGGTAATTTTGTGGGATTGACTCTACATAAACTTGACTGTTAGAAAAAAGACTAAATGTTGTCACTCTGAGGCCTCATGGTGTGGGAGTAATGGAGCAAGGTCATTCTGTAGCCTTTGCAGGAGAAGTTACACGACTGAAGATTTTCTGGAATGAATCCCATTTTGAAGGGAAGAATCATGGCTTCACAAGGTTTTTACAGATATGATAGCATCTTTTCCAAAAGACGAATGTCCCACAGCTTTGCAAAATGGATTAATCCTTATGGACGTGTAGGTATGCACTTCCCGTGGATCTGCCTATTGGTCTGACAGCTGTGCACTCTTATGGGCTTGTGACAAAAATCGAGTTTTACTCTCAGTATTTCTCCTACCCTCCCCATAAAGGACATATGGCCTTTGATAAGGGCAACTGCACACTGGAAAATAGGAAATAATCATACATCTCAGGGTATATTAGATAGTGGTTCAGATGTGACACTGATTCCAGGAGACCCCAAGAAGCATTGTGGTCCTTTAGTTAAGTAGAGGCTTATGGAGGTAAGGTAAATAATGAGGTTTTAGCTAAAGTCTGACAATGAGTTCATTGAATCTGAGAACTCATCCCAATACTTCCCCATTTCAATAATATACAATATAGATTATAATAATATATAATCTAGATATATTAGATACTGTCAGAATTATAACCGTGGTTACCTGGCCTATGAATTGAGAACTAATATAGTTGGAAAGGCAAAATGGAAGCCTTTGGACTTGGGTATAGGAGGGAATATTGGGAGAAAAAGCTACAATATTATATTCCGGGAAAAATTGCAGAAATTAAAGTCATAATTCAGATTTGAAAGATTCAGAGGTGGTTGTTCCTACAAGATTTCTCTCTCTCTTATCTGGCCATTGCAGAAGATGGATATATATATATAATGAAAATTGACAACTGAAAAATTAATCAAATAGTGATTCCAGTTGCAGCTACTCTATCAGATGTGGTATTCTTACTTGGGCAGATTAACACATCATTTGCTACATTGTGTACAGCTCTTGACCTAGCAAATGCCCTTTTTCTAGATACCTGTTCATAAGAATAAAAAGCAATTTGTTTTCAGTTGGCAAGGTCAGCAGTATACTTTAATAGTTTTTACCTCAAGATTATATTAATTCTCCCAGGCCTGTGTCATAACTTAGTTAGAAGAGATTTTGATTTCCTGCCTCTTCCACAAAATCCTACACTAGTCCAGTACATTGATGATATTATGAAGATTGTACCAAGGAACAGTAGGTAGTAACCACTTTGAACTTGTTGGTAATGTATATATGCATCAGATAACAGGAAATAAAACTCACTAAATTTCATGGGCACCCAACCTTTGAAATTTCTGAAATCTAGTGATGTGGGGCATGCCGAGATACTCCTGAGTTGAAACATAAGTTATTGAATCTGGCCTTTCTTACCACAACGAAAGAAGCACAATATTTAGTGTGCCTTTTTGGATTCTCCAGACAACATATTTCTAACTTGGGTGTGTTACTCCAGTCCATATACCTACTGAATCAGAATGCTGCTATCTTTGAGTGGAGCCTGGAACAAAAGGAGGCTCTTCAACAGGATCAAGCTGCTGTGCAGGTTGCTCTACCACTTAGTCCATAATATGGAGTAGACCTGAGGGTATCTGAGGTGTCAGTGGCACATAGAAATGCTGTTTAGAACCTTGGGCAGGGCTCTATAGGTGAATCACCGAGGAGTTCTTTGACATTTTGGAGCAAGGCTCTACCAGCATCTATTAACTATTTTTTCTTTGATAGACAGCTCGTGACCTGCTATTGGCACTTAAAGGAAATCCAATATTTGACAGTGGGCCAACAAAGTAACATGTGATCTGAGGTGACCACTATGAGCTGGTATTAACTGACCCATCAATCCATAAAATAGGGCATACATAGCAGCAACTCAATATAAAATGCAAGTGGCATGTATGTATATATATTATATGTATATATATATATATAATTAAGCCTGAGCAGGTCCTAGGTCCATGAGCATGTTACATGAAGTTGTTGCCCAAATACCTATGAATTTTACACCCTCTTCAATGTTATCTGCTCCCAAGAATACATCCATATTCTCATAGGGTGTCCTCTATGATAGGTTGACTGCAGAAAAGAAGACTAGGTTCTAGTTAATTTATGGTTTTTCATGCTATGTAGAAACCATATGGGAGTGGAAAGCTTCAGCATAATAACCCCTTTCTGGGACTTCCCTGAAAGATACTGTCAAAGGGAAGTCTTCGCAGTTGGCAGAAACTTGGACATTACACATGGTCACATATTTTGCTTGGAAGGAGAAATAGCCAGATATTCAATTGTTCACCAACGAGGGCTGTAGTCAATTGGTTTGCTACATGGTCAAGGTCTTGGAAAGAACATGAATGAAAAAATGCTCAAAAAATACCTGGAGAAGAGTCTGTGGATCAATCTCCCCAAGAGGGCACAGGATCTGAAGATACCTGTATTCCATGTAAATGTTCATCAAAAGGTAACTTCATCTGAGGAGAAGTTCAATAATCAAGTTGACAGAATGATCTGTTCTGTGTACAGTCAACCTCTTTCCCCAGCCATTTCTCTCAATGTCCAATGGACCCAAGAATGTCATCATAGCAACCATGATGACAGAGATGGCCATTATTCATGAGCTCAACAACATGGACTTCCACTCACCAAGGATGACCCTGTTGAATGCCAGATCTACTAACAACAGAGACCAACACTTAACCGCAAATATGTCACCATTCTATAGGGTAACCAACCAGTGACCTTATGGCCATTTAGCTACATAGGAACATTTCATTCATGAAAAGGACAGCACTTTGTCCTTACTGCAGTAGATACTTTCTGGTTATAAATTTGCTTCGTCTGATGTAATGTTTCTACCAAAATTACAGACTGCCCTTATCCACCATGATGGTATTATACACAGTACTACTTCTGATTAAGAAACTAACTCTATAGCCAGAGAAGTATGAGAGTAGACCCACACTCATGTCGTTCACTGACTGTTCTTACCTTGTTCCCATCATCCTGGAGCAGCTGGATTGGTAGAAAGATGAAATGGCCTATTGAAGACACATTTGTAGAACCAATTATGATGCAATAGACTGGTGAGCAGGGTCATGGTTCTCCATGGAAACCAATAGTCTAAGAAAAAAATAAAACTGTTAGGCAGTAAGCCAGACCCAAAAAGAGGAATAAGGTATGTATTCACTCATAAGTGGATTCTAGCCATAATTAAAGGTCTTTGGGCCTATTATTCGTGATCCTAGAGAAGCTAAATAAGAAGGTGAACCTGAAGAAAATGCAGGTAGTTTTCCTCCTGGAGATTGGAAATAGACAAGAGTTCCAGATCCTTCATCTGGCAATGGATGGAGATAGAGACGGGGACCCACGTTGGAACACTGGACTTAACTCCCTAGGTCCAAGCGAGAAGCAGAAGGAAGAAGAACGTGAGCAGGGAGGGCAAGATCAGAGTGAACCTTCAACCGACGATGGATGGCGATGCAGACGGAGACCCACATTGGAGCACCGGACTGAGCCCCTCCAAGGTCCAAAGGAGGAGCAGAAGGAGGAAGAACATGAAAAAGGAAATCAGAACCGCAAGAGGAGCGATCACCCACTGATACAATGGGACTGATCTAATGAAAGTTCACCAAGGCCAATTGACTGAGACTGAAGGAGCCCTTGATCCAACCAGATTCTCTGGAGGAGGCTGGATTCCCTGAATGTGGCTGACCCGAAGTCTTTCTAAAAAGCCATTGACAATGACTCTGGGACTTGTTTCCTCTGCACATTCTGGATTTTTGGGGATCCAGTCTGTTTGGATACTCACCTTCCTGGACCTGGAGGGAGCGGGGAGGAACTTGAACCACCCACAGGGCAGGAAACCCGGACTGCTCTTAGGGATGGAGAGGGAAGAGGAGAGGGAGTGGGGGGAGTGGGAGGGTGTTGGGAGGAGGGGCGAAAATGGAAACTTTTATATTTTAATAAACTTTAAAAAAAACTGTTAGACAGGATGATAAATTCTGACCACCAAGAGAAATCAAAATGCTTCTTTTCAATGTAGATAACAACGATTATGACTGGTGTGCAGTACAGTCTTTTAGAAGTCTCATGGCATTACCATGTCCTAGGATTAAAGTCAGTGGGAATCCCCAACACAACTAAACCCAGCAGAGTGACAAAGGTCCAGATAATTCAGAAATAAAGAATGGGCCACTCCTCCAAGAATAGAACGAAAACCAGCTAAATTGCTTGCTGAGATTAGAGGAAACACAGGATAGTAGGAAAAGGTAGTTATAAATGCAAGCTAATACCATGCGACCAGTTGTAGAAATAAGGATGGTAGTCAGCATGAATATTTTTGTCCTATTTAACTAAAAATGTGTTTCTGCATCTATACACATATGTTAAGTAATATTTGTTATCTTCTATCTCTTTGTTATGTAATGTGACATAAATTGAGATAATATCAGTGTTTAACACATTTAAGTTATGAGACAATAAATAGTTAAGTGTATCTCAAAGAATATCTTTTTAAAAATAAAAAATACATTTGTAGTTATAACCGTTATATTATGTCAGGTTGATTTTAACCCTGTTAGTTATTCCTTTCATTTTAGAAATTGAACTCTATAGAGGAGATATAATTGTGTGTCAAGTTGACAGAGAGTTGCCTTGTGATGATTAATCTTGTTTGCCAACTTGACTAAATTTGTAACCAACTAAAATCCAAGTATCTGGGCACACATATGATCCATTATTTTGACTAGATCATTTGAAGTGGGAATACCCACCATAAATTTAAATTGCACTGTCTCATTGCAACCCATAAAGAAAAGCATGAAAGAAAGAAATTTTGGCTTTCTGCCTGCTTGCTCTCTCTTTCTCTGGCAGAAACATTCCTTTGCTGGTATTAGAACGTGCTTCTTCAATATTTTAACAGAAACTGAACAAGCAATTTCCTGGTTATGAAATGAGTAGCTTCCATTCTTAGCCTTTCCATAGGAAAAGTCATTATTGGTATGGTCAGACCACAACCTCTATGGCATTTTAATAGAATCCATGTGTTTGGGGTGTGTGTGTGTGTGTGTGTGTGTGTGTGTGTGTGTGTGTGTGCCAAGTTAGACAGGATGTCAAAATACATATGTGCATGCATACATACATATATACATGCATACTCTTTCTATTAATTCTGTTCCTCTAGTGAACCATGACTAATATAGCAGTCATGTAAGCATAAACAGTTTTCATCAGGCTTTTCATGATTAACCACATCTGCATCTACTCCCGCATTACCCATTTGCTGATGACTGGGCACAGCATACCTTTGTAGCCCTGGTGCCTGAAATACTTAATGTTTATTGAGCATCTTTATTGGGTAGCATGGGTCCCCAAGGAAGGACTATGACTTTCCTTCCCATTTTGTAACACATGGGTGAATCTCATTATTGTAATACTATGTATTCTCTCTTATGTTTCCCTTCTCAAGATATTTCTTCCCTGCATCTCTGGAGTAGAAAAAAATAATTGCTTTCCTTTTGTATACCATGTGCTGTGGGTTCCTCCTTTGTTTCTGTAGACATTGGTTCTGAGACTCCAGTTCCTAGTGATGAAGTGTGTAGAACTTAAATCAATATATCCTCTGATTAAAAACTCAAACCACCACCTACAGACCTGCTTTGCAGGGGCTCTATAGTGCTGTATGTATTTCTTTACATTCTCTGCTATAAACTGAAGATGCTGTGGCCCTGAGAAATGAGGACAATCTTTCATCAGTCTAACAGTTCTCTATTCCATCACAGATATCTTTGCAACCAAAATCTTATTTTGTTTGTTCTGCTATTTTACTCTGAAAACTCACAGCAAAAAGTATAAGGAGGTATGAATGAATAACTTCAATGCATTGTTAGTTAGAACAAGAAATATACTAATTTCAAATAAAATCTATGTTTTGTCATTGTTTACTGTAATACTGCAATCATATTTTGCAATTCATAGACCAACATTTTCATATATAAATTAAGTCTTAATAAGGCCTACCTAAAAGGATTGTTGGTGGTGACTTGTGAATTAAATCATTTTTAGATTCCAGAAATTGTTATGAAATTGAGTATGAGTATGTAAGTATGTATGTATACATGTACACGTGTGTGCACGGATATACATATGAGGTCAGAGAACAACCTCCATTTTTGTTTTCTTGTTTTTGTGAGACAACATCTCTCCTTAACATGGATCTTGTCATTACCAGCTACTGGTTGGCTGCTCAGCATGTCCCAGGGACCCATGTTTCTTCTTCTCCCCAGCTCTAAGGTGGTATGGGAGGCCCTTCTATCTATGTGTTGCTTTCATTGATTAATGAATAAAGAAACTGGCTTGGCTTACAGCAAGGTAGAACTTAGTTAGGCAGGGAAAGTGAGACTGAATGCTGAGAGAAAGAAGGCAGAATAAGGGAAAAGCCATGGAGCCACTACCAGAGACAGATGAGCTGAAACTTTGCTGGTAGATCATGACTGCATGGTAATGCACAGATTAATGGAGATGAGTTAAATTAATATGAAAGAGTTAGCCAATAAGAAGCTAGAGCAAATAGGCCAAGTAGTGGTTTAAATAATATGGTTTCAGTATAATTATTTCAGGTCTGAGCTGCCGGGCGGCAGAAAAAGAAACTAATGGTCCACCCTACAACAAATTGGAGCACCTACATGGTAAACTATATCCACGGAAAACCTGAGGGGGGTTGGAAAGGAATTCTAGACACTAAAAAACAAAGTTTAGCTGCATTTCTTTCCTGAATGGGCATTGCTCACTGTGGCATGCTGTGGCTCTTTTAAAAGAGGTCTTACTGATTCAGCAATAGCAGAAAAAAATGCCACATAGATTTGAAATGCAGCTCTCTGGGATGTGCTTCCAGTATGCACTCTGACAAGACCCAGCTATAAAGCATTTAAATGGGTTTTGTGAGTAGAGTGCTACAACTTGCTTAAAGGCAACCTCTGTGTGCCTAAAAATGGGGAAATGTACATGACTCTGAGAGGCAGAGAACATCTCTACCTTTCTGGACTGGGAAGAACAAGCAAGCTGGGCTGTATTTGCTGTAACAATGCTGCAACTAAAGTTTTTAAGAAGTGCTTAGCATTTAAAGAAGCAATCCTGATCAGAAAATAATTATAAATACAAATTCAGATGGAAAAGACCTCTAAATGGATCACAGTGTTGAATAAATGTATGTAGGCTTGGGAAAGAGAATATAGACAGTTATAAAAAGTAAAAAAATATAAAAATATAAAAAGAAGTAAAAAATGGTTTAAATAAAAGCAAAGTCTTTAAATAGACAGAGTACAGACAGTCATAGATTAAAAGAAGTAAAGAAAAATAAGACACATAAAGAAGGAAAATTCACAGAGAGTCTGGATTATGTATATTATTTGCTTTCTTGAAATTTTTCGACCTTGAAGGAGGTAAGTATTTAAAACATATACTTTAAAGATACCTTGATTTCAAAATTAGGGTCTGAGGATGTGTTGCTTTGGGAAAGAGGTTATTTTGTTTCCACAAAGGATGAGAACCTGTGGAATCATTTCAGACTAATGTGGCTTAATGGACCAAGGCCCCTTGAAAGGTTGCTGTGAACACCTCCCCAAAAGAAACTCCTTCACCCAACAAAAGCCATAATCAGTATTGAGAGAACTATACCCACATTCCAAAAATATTGTTTATAAATGTTTGTTTACATTTAAAGGGGAAATGCTACAGAGATTTTCATTGATATGGATCTAGGCTTATTGATACAAATTTAAGGCCAATTTTGTTATATGTATATTTCTGCTCTTGATTAATGTATTATGTTTGTCCAGTTCATTTAAAATTGTAATATATAATTAAGAACTAGTGGTTAATAGATATTCATCTATAATAATCAAACCTGTAGTCATGTTAGTTAGATTTTCTAGATATAAAGAGTTGTATTTCAGATAGTTAGGTAGTCCTCAAATCTTTCAAACACCTTCAGAATATGGCATTTAAAATGTTTTAAAAAGTTAGGACTTTTCATGACAGTGAGACA